AGGGGAGGCCTCTGGGAGCAGAAAACAAGCCCTGGGTCCAGGGAGGCCAAAATAACCTGCTCATTGAGTCAAGGCACCAACATGTTGGTCAAGCCGGCAGGGGGGAAACCCAAACCCCAGCCAGATCTATTATTTAGCAGTTTGTCACCAAGCAAAAAATAAAAATGATCTCCCCCCCCAACACCCCACCATAACTGCGGCGGTGATGAGTGTTGCTATTTGGTGTCAGAAGTCACCTCGGGTCAGCCCAGGCCAAGTCGCTTGTTTTAGATTTGAGTGATAATAACGATCTGGATACAGGAACTCCCCATGTTGGGAGAGTGTGACGTCTTCTCTCGGTCCCCGAGCCCTGCGTCGTTGCCTGCAGTGTCCCACAGGTCCCTCCTCTGACTAGGGGTGGTGGGAGGATGAGTGGGAGCCCAGGGCGGCGCTGGAGAAACTGACTGCCCAGTCTGTGACAAGTATTTGCTGCGTGCCTGCCGCGTGCCTGTCAGCCCAGGCGATTTCTGTTCCAGGGGCTGTGTGCTTGGGGGTCCATGTACCCCCTTCCCTCCATGACCCCCCCAGAGTGAGCTATAGAAAGCCTCCATTTAGAGTTCAAAAACTAATTGGTTACAGCTCCCAGAGGCCTGGGGGAAGGGCGGGCTGCATCTCAAGCAGTGTGCAGAGAATTACAAGTCCCGCTTCACAGTCCCTTTGGCTTGGCACAGGTTAAGTGTGTATAAATCAGGCGTCTGCAGCTTTGCTTTCTAGTTCACCGTTCCGTTCACCCACGACTTGAACCAGAACTTTTGAAAAAAAAAAAAGTTCTGCTGAAGTAAACACATGTACAGAAAAGAACACACATAAGTGCAAAATGGCTCTAGAGAATTTTCCAACAGTGAACGTACCCAGGTAGCAGCGTTTTGGGCAACAAACAGAACGTGGCAGCCCCAGGAGCCCCCGTTCCTGCCCTGAGCACCCCTTTCCAATACTGTGCTCTGATTGTTCCCCCAGGGTAACCCTAGGCTGACCTCCTGCACAGTGGATGAGTTTTGCCTGCCTTTGAACGCTGTGTAAATGCAGTCATACAGGATGTCCCCTTTTGTGTCTGGCTTCTCTCACTCGACATCTTGTCTGAGACTGACCTGCGCTGTCACGAGGGATTGTCATTTATTCTGACAATATTCCATCTACTCTACAGTAGAGGCCATTTCTAGGTGGGAACTACCATAAAAGTGCTGCTAAGGCCAGAGCTTTCTTTCACAATTGGGCTCTACAGCCCTCTTTCTTAAAAACATATTTTTATTGGGGAAAAATATATATAGTATAAGTTATATATAAATACATAAATATATATAATATAAATGTGCCATTCTAACCGTGTTCAAGTGGCATAATCACATCTACACTGCTGCATAACCATCACCACTATTTCCAAAACGTTTTGTTTTGTTTAAATGGACTCTCGCTGTGCTCCATCCAAACTGGCCTCGAACTTTCTAGGTAGCCCTGGCTGGCCTTGAACTCGTGGCCCTCTTGCCTCCTGAGTGTTGGAATTACAGGCATGCACCACTGCTCCTGGCTCTATGTCCAAAACTTTTTCATCATCCCAAAGAGAACTCTGCACCCATTAAGCAATTACTCTCCATTTCTCTATAACCTCGGATCTACTTTCTATCTCCTCCAATGTTCCTGTTTCTGGTACTCCCACAGATGGAATGTGTCCTCTTGTGACTGGCTGCCTTCACTTAGCATAATGTTTTCAAGATCCATCCATATTTTTGTTTGTTTGGTTGGTTGGTTGGTATTTTTTTTTCTTTTTTGTCTTTTTGAGGCAGGGTCTCGCTATGCAGTTCAGGCTGGCCTTGAGCTCACTTTGTAGCCCAGGCTGGTCTCGAATTCGCGACGATCCTCCTGCCTCAGCCTCCCAAGTGCTGGGATTACAGGTGTGTGCCACCACGCCCGGCTAGGGTCCAACCATGTTGTGGGTCGAAACTTCATTCTCCCTTCAGGAATGAAGTTTTACCCAGCCCAGGAGAGATGCTTTTACAACCAAAGAATACTTCATTGTATGGCTACACCGCATTTTGTAGATCCATTCACTGGCTGACGGACACCAGGGTGTTTGCACCTTTTAGTGTCATGATTAACACTACAGTGAAGACTGGCATCCAGGTGTCTGTGTGTCACCCACCGCCTTCTACTGTGTGTCACTTGCTGAGCCAGGCACTTACCCACCCGTCAGCAATCTGCCAGCTGAATGAAGTGGAGTTGTCACCCCCAGGCTACCGACGAGGAAACTGACGCTCCGAGGATCCAAGGAACTTTCCCCGATCTAAGAGGCTAATGCCATGACTCAAATCCAGACCCTCTGATTCTAATCTAGTTTTCCATCCATCACCCTACTGCTCCTGTCTTGCCATTCCGGTCACAAAGAAGTCAGACGATTTTGTTTTACGACCTAGCTCTTGCTCTGTCTCCAGGTAGAAAATCTTCCCCTTGGAGCCACTAACCAGGCCTTGGACTTTCTGGAAGCTATTTCATCTCTCCTGGCACCCAGCCCAGGACCAGGGAACAAGAGAGGGTCCTCACACCTTGACTAAGCCTTTACGCCTCGTGCTGTAGGTTTTTGTTGTAAAAGCAACACCTCTGCTCTCCTGCTGCCGGGCTTCCTGAGTGACCCCGGGTGTGATTTTTATTCAGGGACACAGAAGTGCTGGGCCCAAAGTGCCCCCTCTCTGATCCCTGCCACAGTAAATTATTGTGGGAGGCTCCCACTGTGTGTGCAGGGAACAAGGGTGGTTTGGCCCAGTCACCCCTCCTGCTTCGGGGCGTCCCTGTCTGCCTCTGGCAGAGTAGGCAGGACACAAACAGGTGGAAGCGCAGTGATCAAGCCCTTCGAGCTGGGTCCCAAGGGTAGCAGAAGGCTGCGCAGGTTCTGGAGGGAGGATGGGGCCGTTGAGCATGGCGCTCAGGGGGTGTCCCCAACCAACTTCCTGCCAAAGGTCCTTGACATTATCCATGCAAATATTTCCTGACTGCCAGCCGTGCGCCGGGCCCCACGGTAGGCCGCAGGATGGGGGACCCAGCGCCAGTGCCAGCACCCGCCCGAGCCGCCCAGGGCTGAGGCCGACAGCCCCACGCGCACGGAGCAGGGGCTTTGGGCTTCTCT